TTCTGGTCATAATCTTTTACAAAGTATTTTTAGCATTAAAACCTTGGTTCTTGTCCATATAGTTTGTAAAACTTTAGTGCCTTATAAGGCCATTGCTATAAGGCTTTCATTTTTTTTTAAAATAATTTCCTAAAAAACAAAAAACAGTAACGATTTGGAAAAAAAAAATCTTTAGTGTCTTTATTTATCATATAAAACCGCAACTTTCAAATTGAGTGCCATAACACGGTTACAATATCGTCCTGCCATGTTGTACGAATTCAATATATGAAGACTAGTATTTCATACTACGTTGTGTTCGCTTGGGAACCTCGAGGCGGTGTAATGGGTAGCAAGCTTGTCTCGCTAGAACAATTATGACTGAGCAGGGAGTCCGATCCTCACTGTCGGTGCCCTGTTTCTTTCTTTGTGCCAAATCTAAGCGACGCTTTAAAATTAGCTATTAGGCTCCTCGAGGCGGTGTAATGGATAGCAAAAACAACTAAATTGCTGTATAAAAACAATTAAAAATCTTATAATATTGAGTTCGATCCTAAAGTTAAAATTCCCCCATTTTTCTTGCGAACTTTTTTCAATATCTAAAAACATTTTTAAATCCCTATTTTATACTTCAGGTGGGTGAATGGATAGCAACCTTGTCTCATATGCTTCTTACGACTGATAGTGAGTTCCATCCTCACTGATATTTTTTAATGTAATTTCAACCTTTCCCTTTTTCCAAAATAGAAGATTGCTTTCAACTCTACGAAATGTTCCCAATCTTTTTCGTGACCTTCAAGTCGGTGTAAAAAATGGTTATAAAAAAGATGAGGATATTGTAGAGAACAAGAATTTATGTTTAGATTTTCAAGGTTAAAAAAACATCTTGATTTTGATGCTGAAATGTATGGTGAAACTATTTCGAATATATATATATACATCTATATTTATATTTATGCTTATATTGAAAAAAACTAAATCCTGGATACATTGTGTTCGTTTTGCTTTCAATGCAGATATATTATCAAATAGGGTACATTTTTTTAAAAAATGAGTTTAGTTCCATATCAGACACTGTGCGTTGCATGAATTAAAAAAAATGTCCCCCAGTAACGGAATGAACAGGAAATAATTATGTGTGTAGAAAATTGTTCATTATTTATTTTATTTATTTGGTTTCGTTTAGCTGTATACGATGTGTTATTTAATATCTGTCTATATTTCCGAGATGAGGTATTGTAATTATTTACATCAACATTGTTCGGACTGTTGCCCTCATCTCTTTTGCCTTATCCACAACGTTTTAACCGTTGTACGCTTTTTTATTCTTCAGATTATTGTCGTTTATAAAAGAAAAAAATTTTATATGGTATGAAAAACTTTGAACAAAATCGTGTCGAGCATGAAAAACCCTAAGGAATTTTCGCCCAGGATTTTGGTGTTAATTTCCCTCAAATTTGGTATTTATTTTTTATAAAAATTTTAAATAATCAATTTTAGAGCAAGCTTCACAAAAATCACATACTGAAAGTTCAACGAAATATTTATTTAAAACATTTGCAACAATCTTCAATGTTTCCATATCTGTATATTCTTTTTTAAATTATTTCAAATTTCTTCTTATTCTTCTTCTTCTTCTTCTTCTTCTTCTTCTTCTTCTTCTTCTTCTTCTTTTATATACCAATCTGCCTTAAATTCGTTGACAGTATGAAACTCTATTTCTAGAATTTTTCTGTCCTGTTGCTTCAAGTATTTGAAAATTTCATGGTTGATTCTATTTACAAAATATATTCTGCGATTGTGACGTCACCCCGTGCCTGTCTGCCCCGTCGCCGTTCTATCCTGTGACGACCAATGTGACTTGGTATTGGTCGCGGCACCAAATGTGACGTTCTAACCCTTTTGCTGATTCGGATGGGAATCTGGTTAGATTCGGTATCAGCCTTGTCGTTCCCAGCTCGCCTCCAACGTCTGGTTACCGAAGTAACTGTTTTGATTTCTAGTCTAACCTACCCACGTTGTGATTTGATCTTAGGTAGACGAAATCAATCAGTCGCCGGGCCGCAATGCAAGTCGAGTTCGAACAAAGGTAATACCGCACAAGTATATGTAAAAGAAAATAAAGTAACAACTCGAAAAGTTCAAATGTGTTAAAAAAGAATAACAATATTTTATATCTGGTTGCTGAATACAGGACTGCGTCTTTCTCCCAACCCGCTTAAATGGATACGCGACACTTTGCGTTTGTTAGGCGAGTCTTAACATCTTAAGTTGTTTTTTTTTTTCTTTAAGAAACTGGTTTTTGGTGTATCTTCAGGCGATATCCGTAAAACTTGTTTTGGTGGTGTGAGTCTAAGTCGTTCTTCAAAAATAAACTGTTCTTAGTTAGAAGTTGAGGTCGTGATTGCGTGGATATTTCAGTCAGCTTTCTGCGAGGCGGGTCTCAGAGCTCACAGCTCAATTCTGCGTCTCTCTCTCCAACTCAACTCTAACTGCCGGTCAACTCCAACTGCCAACTCAAACTCAACTGCTAACTCCACTACTTGCCTGTCTTACTCCCGTCCACTCGCTGCGATTATGCTTATATGGACGCCGACGAAAACCGGGGTAGGCTTGTCGGGGTTTGAGGTTCCTTGATAATTTTAAATCCACAATAAGGATTTTCTTTGTTTTTGGACAGGAAAATTTATTATTTTCCATTTTTGGAAGTCCACTACTTTCTACTTTAAGGGAATCATCCTCCCAAATTCTTTCTTTCTCATATTGGTATCTCACCCAATCCCCTCAGAGGGCGTCAACAGGTTTCCCCTCTCTCTCACAGTGGCATCTCACACCAATCCCTTTAGGGGGCGTCAACAGACCTCCCCTCCTTCTTCATAGTTTACCTTCGCCTACCGCTCACGCCACCCTTCAGCCAATGAACGCTCAGCAGCGTGGGTGTTTGCAATTATCGCTCAAAGGAAAAAAAAATTATCTTCCTTTTTTTTTTTCTTTTTCTTTTTTTTTTCTTCCCGAGCAGATCTCCCACGACTCGTAGTGTGGTCCCTAATCTCTATCTTAACAGAATGTCACCTGGACTTTATCAATCGAGATTTTCGACAGCGTCAAGTGGGTGGTTAACTGGACGTATCCGCATTCTGTCGCTAATTAACTATCCTGATAAAAACTTTTATCATGGCCAGCTCTGACATAAAACAGGTGTTTTTTCCAAAACAAATGATATCTCCGGAAGGGTGGTCCTTGGCTTTATTCTTTTCTCGGTCAATTTCTTATCGCCTTTTTTTTATTTCAGCTTCTTCTCGCCTTTTAATTAATTTGACCTTTTTCATTTTCACAGATGGATGTTGATACCACAGACCGAATATTCAGTTTTAGAAAAAAAAAATGGAAACAGAAAGGGGACATATACTTAACATCAGGAAGAGACAATTGAAATTTCTAGGACATATAACGAGGAAAGAGGGCTTGGAAAAATGAACGCTCACAGGACAGACTGAAGGCCAGAGGAAAACACTGCATAACATACTTAGTGAGCTTGAATGAATGCATGGCGGAACAAGGTTTAGGAGATATAACAAAAAGAAAAAAATATTAACGAAGGACACGGCATTCTATAGAGTCACTATCGTAATCGTCCTTAAGGCAGACGGCATAAATAATAATAATAATAATAATAATAATATATATATATATATATATATATATATATATATATATATATGCATGCTATATTTTTAGGAGATCTTGCAGTTCTTTTTTCTGTATCTACCATCTGCTTATCTTATTTTGTTAACAAGATCCGTTAGAAGTTTCGACTTTTTCGGAAAACTGTTGTTCAATTTGCATTTATGTATGCTAGTTTTGTACTGAATCTGCAAAAATTATAAATGAGATAAGACAGATAACACATAATTTTATTTTCTTTGTAAAACATAAAGAAGAGTTTAAAATAAAGTTAAACGTAATGGATTATCTTTAACGACAGACAGCAAAAAAAAAAAAAGATTGGTTCCGTTGTTTAGATGCAACGAGATATCTCATAGTATGGAATTTAAATCATCACAATGGAATTATTTTATTTAGCGTCATTGAATCAGAAAGGTTAGTGAAAGCGCATGCGCAGAGTGTAAATAACATTTATCACGCATACGCATACAGTTTTTTATTTATTTACAGGTGACAATTAGAAAAGACACAAACACATTTGGCAGTTTTAACGAATTTAAATTTTCTCAGGTAAACTTGTCAGTGAATATATATTATTCACATTATTCGGACTCATCTTCATTGTCATATTCACAATGTTTCAGCCAAATAATCTACCCCTGTGGACGAAATAAAGGATTCGATTCGAAATTCTAATCACCTGAAGAAGGCCATAGGGTACAACGGCCGAAACGTTGTGAATATGGCAATGAAGATGAGGATAACAGTCCGAATAATGTAAATAATCATAATAACTCATCTCTGAGATATAGACAGATATTGTCTGAGATTAATTCGAAAAGAACCACTTGCAAAATTACCATAATTTTTATTTGTTTTGTTTTGAAAAAATAAATAAATAAAAATGCAGTTGCTAAGAATAAAAACTTGAAAGAAGGTGATGAAAAAGAAAACGAAAGGCATTTGATAAGAAAGAAGTCGTGAAATAATGTTATAAGAGAGAGAGAGAGAGAGAGAGAGAGAGAGAGAGAGAGAGAAAGAAAGAAAGAATGAAAGAAAGAAAGAAGGAAAGGCAATTGAAGAGAAAGAAAGAATGCGATTTCAATGAAACCAAACGATTTCAAAGAAAGGAAAAGAAAAAAGACGATTTCAAAGAAAGAAAAAGAAAAAAAGACGATTTCAAAGAAAGAAAAAGAAAAAAGACGATTTCAAAGAAAGAAAGAAAAAACGATTCAAGAAAAAGAAAGCGATTTTAAAGAAAGAAATCAAAAGAAAGAAATAATTAAAAAGAAAAAAAACGATTTTAATGAAAGAAAGAACAAAGAGAGAAAGTAATTTCAAAGAAAGAATAAGATTTAACAGAAAAAGAGAAAGAATGAAAACGATTTCAAAGAAAGAACGAAAACGATTTCATGGAATGAAATGAAGCAAGAAAAGAAACAAAGAAAAGAAACAAAGAAATAAAAGAAACAAAGAAAACAAAGAAACAAAGAAAGAAATGAAACAGTACCAACGAAAGAAAGAAAGATGCCCAGCAGGCTAAAAAAAAAAAGATGATCAATGTGCATCTAGGATAAATGTTTTCTGGCCTACAGCCTTGTGGATGCTCTTAGTAGTGCAGATGCCTGGGGAGATAATATATAAATCCGTGGTTCATTTACACGAGGCCACACCCCAACCAATCTATGTCGCTTGGTAAGATGTTGCAAACCGGACAGTCTCTCGTAGTCTTTATCTTTCGTGTCACTGGAATTCAGCTGTTCAGGCTATGATAATGCGACTTGTGCTTTGCGCAACAGGCCATGAATTTTGTATACTTGATGGCCGTCGACCCTATGTTTCATTTGCAAAATAAAAACATTAACAGACATTATTTTTTTAACGTGATAGGTATCTAAGCGTACTCCTCACTAGATAAACTTTATGGAGGAATAGTTTAGTCCGACCAAGGATTTCTACAAGTAGTAGACTAGGAAATTTGTGTGGGTGATGGCTGCTGATCTTGCTCAAAGAGTGCTCCTGGTACTCTGATTTAGTACTCCCGCCGCACGGTCGGATAAGTGGCGTTTCGACCGGTTCCTCTGATGAGGACGGTGGTTAGATATTCAAGATGATAATAAATAAAACCAAACACATGACGAACGACCGAGCTAGGAAAATTGTGTGCTACATGATTGCTGATCCTATTGAAAGTGTGCTCCTTGTACTGTTATTTAGAACCCCCGTTGTGTTGTCGGGTAATCGGCGATTAGGTCAGTTTATCCAATGTAACTAGAACGACCAAGCCAGGGAAAATGCATGCTAAACTGTTGTTGACCATATTCGAAGTGCACCACTGGTATTAATATGCCTTGCGTAATTAGACAGTCCCCTTGAATTTTTCCACTTTTCCTCACCTTATAACTAAAATGAAAATGTATTTTATTAAGGATTTATATAATAGACCAACGAAAAATAGTAAATCATAGTGTTGGTGGCGGGAAAATATAACATGTTTTTCAAAATTATTTACAAAAAATAAATAAATAAATAAAAATTATTAGGTGTTTATCAATTCACTCCACTTTATTATGAAACCCCTAAGAAAACTCCAGTACAACTAATTGCCTTCAGATGCTGCATAATTACTAGAGTTCGCCTAATTATAACGAATTCTTTTGAGTAAAGGAAAAATGGGAAAATAAATACGATCCTTGATTCTGCCGTCTCCAGTTATATGCACTTGTCTTGTGAAGGCCTCAGAGATTTGTTAGAGAACATTACAGAACAAACAGTACTATTGTAGCAATCAACTACCACTTCCTTATCAATGTCTAAATTTGTATATTTTTGTGCAAAATAGTGGATCAGAGAGCCTGCTCGGCTTAGTAAATATTTTCAGGAAATATCAGCTTCTAATTGGTCAATAAACACACAAGTGGGCGTTGCAATCCACCCACGTACAAATACTTTTCCAGCGTGTGACCAAGTCAAGTTTCCCGCCAATTTGCTGTGATCCTGTCACGTGATTACATTATCTATAAATAGCAGACACGAGTTCGCTCATTCTCTTTTACTCTTTCAAATTCCTGGGAAGATGTGATCCTCAGGATTCTCGTCTCGACCATGGGAGATCAGACGTTAAATGCATATTCACGCATGCACGTACGTACGAACTTTTCCAACCTACATTACAAACACACAGAACATTTCCAAACATGCAACAAGAACTTTTCACTTTGAAACATTCTTCTAAAACTACAGTTTATTCAGCATTTCTCAGCTTTATAATTAATTCAACTTTTGTGAGTTCAGATAAAAATATTTCCAATCTAAGAGACATAACTCCAACAGTTTTTAACTTCTACGCATTTACATCAACACACAAATAAATACAAATGTTATGTTTTTAAAACCATTTTGTTCCTTCTTGTATTTCATATTATGTGGTATTTTACGTTTAATATAAATTCTATGGTCATGTTATACACGCAGCCATAAACAGACATACACAATTGTCCATTCTTATTACTAAACCACTACATATGGTAATCCCGACGTTTGACATGGGACGAGAAAAACAAATAGACCACTACACTATGTGTTGCCGCTTGGGAATATCAGGTGATGTAAGATTGGATGTGCGTCTGATTTAATGAATAATGGCTCGGTATTGTTAATAGTTGAGACGATTTCCACTTGGGTTCGTTATATTTAGTTACGCGCAAATACACTTCAGAAAGTCATGAATCAATCCATTCTCCTCCCACCTATAGGTTAATTATTAAGACTTGTATCACTAAAGCATTTTTATCTCTCCCACCAAAATTCTTCTAATCTAAAAATATATCCTGGCTTTAAAAAACCTGTAAAGGGTTGATAAGCTGTAAAAATCAATGAATCAATCAATGAATCAATATCTCTCACCTCTTTCTCTCAGTTAGTCTCTCATTTATAAGTTGCAGGAAAAAAATCTTGAATTATCCATGGTATGATGAGACGAGTCATTCATTGATTTATTTTTATTAAGATACAGTAGATTACATTTTACTAAATTTTTCTCACTAAAAGGCCCAAGATCCACTCAAGTTAGAGGGCTAAAGAGGTTATTTTATCGACATAGGAAGGAGAAGGGAGAAAAGAGAATTAAGTTTAAATTATGATGATCTGTAGGGTGGGTAACTTTTGAAGGACACATGGCACAGTGGATAAAGGCGTTGGTTAGATCCAGCGACAGGACCCAAAGAGTGTGAGTTCAATACCCGGTTAAGGCAGTGGAGAACTTGGAGAGGGGAATTAACAGGAAATAACGGATAACTGACATCCATTAAACATGGCACTGTTTTTCATATAAGCTTTTCATCAAATCTTGAACTATTTCGCAAAGAATAAATGGGATAATTGATGTCATTACAGTTGTAATTGGAGCAAAAGGTGGTTCTACAAAATATTGACTCAGTGGGAGCAAATACTTATGCATTCAAGAGATTGACTGCTTTGTTGTTCTAATTATAGTTTGCATCACGATAAAATATATTTAGCACCTTCAAATCGCTGGGCATTTTATGTTTGATCAAACGATAACAGGTTCAAGGCAGTGAATACATATATAAGTCACTTTATAGAACTCAGTACTACTTGAAGTACAGTCGTCTCATCAATGCTTAAACAGGTTCCCCAGCAGAATAACGTGGTGATGAGAATTTCTAGACACTCTGGAGGGTAAAAAAAAAAAAAATAAATAAAGCCTGTTAACAGACAGACGAACTAGTCAGAAAAAAAGCGTGTGCTCGATGTTTGCTAACCTTGTTGGAAAAGTTCTGATGGTACTATGAACCCAATCCGACCTGCCACAGAATCTGCAATTAAACCGTTTTCCCAGAAGAATTATCAGGTGATCAGGGTTATTAAACACCCAGCAGGATAAAAAAAAATAGATAAAATCTGTCAAAAGGTGAACGGCCGAGATATTCAAATATTAAATTCTCTGGCTTGAACGAAGTGGAATCCTTCATATTTCGTGCAACTATTTTCAACAGACCGACACAAGAGTCCATACAACGCCAACCGCGGCTAATTCTGCACACGTCAACGCCACCTATCATTATTAATTCGTTTTATATCAACGACGACACCTTTAACTTGTTTTTCTCCCAGTTATAGTCATTACAGTTCTAATGCAGTGAGATATCGATTCATAATTTTCGCTTAAATTCCCTACTAATCTCACTGCACAAGTCTAAACAATAATAAACACGGGCTACGTGTCAAGTAAGAGAAATTGGACAAATTTGGATAATATACTTTAGAAAGTTTATTGATTTTTTTCCTATGCCTGCAGTAAAACCGAATGGAAATTGGTTCGTGAAAGTTCTGCCTGTTGTGCTGAATTCGGCTATAATCCTACAAAATTCTCTTTTGCTGAAACGTCCCTGACGCCCTTAAATAAATAAAAAAATGAAGTGTGTGGCATGGATTATCGTCCATTATACGTATTTTGTATTTAAGTAAGTCCAGCTCGTTTATTCCAAGTCGAATAAAGCTTCAGATAAGTTATATCTGCGTTCTTCTTTTCAGTACAATTTAGTTGACTTGTAATCACCATGGATTATTGCAGGAGAACACAAAGGTTCGACGTCCAAACTGGCCATACCACAGGTGATGAGCAATGGACGAATGTAACACCGCTATTTCAAATTCAGACGCAGAATGGCTTACAAATACGTCAACACTTCAAGTCGAAGGTTGATGCCTCAAAGCCAGGAAAACTTCATACCAATCAATGCCAGAGGTAGCTATCGACTGCCAACCACCGCCACGACCTTAAAGGAACTACAGGAGGCCGGTCGGTGGAATGACTTTTGCCCCTACATATAGCCATTGGAGGAGAATGTGGTATGGATTCTCACCGCATATACGTATTCTGTAAGTAAATAAGTCCAGATCGGACACACTGCATACTGAGTCGAATAAATCAGCAGATAAGTTTTACCGGCGTTCGTCTTTTTACTACTGTGTGTATCACGCTCTACGTCTTTTTCAATACGTTGTGTTTCATGCTATTCGTCTCTTTCTCTATATTGTGTTTCATGCTCGTCGAATATTTTACTACACTGTGTTTTATACTCTTTGTCTTTTTCACTATATTATGTTTCATTGTCTTCGTTTTATTCAATTCAAAGTGTTTCATGCTCTTTGTTCTTGTCACTATATTGTGTTTCATGCTTTTCGTATTTTTCACTACACTGTGTTTCGTGCTCGCTGTATTTTTCACTACACTGTGTTTCAGGATATTCGGCTTTTTCACTATATGTTACTTCATGCTCTTCATCTTTTTACTGCATTGTGTTTAATATTCTTCGTTTTTTCCCCTATATTGTGTTTCATACTATTCGTCTTTTTGACTACACTGAGTTTATTGCTCTTCGTCTTTTTCACTACATTCTGTTTAATGATCTTCGTCTTTTCCACTACAGTATGTATCATGCCCTTCATCTTTTCCACTATATTGTGTTTCATGCTCTTCGTCTTTTCCCTTATATTGTGTTTCATGATCTTCT